TTGTAGTCTCTCTTTTCCTGCCATAGCTTATCCTTCAACATTATTGCTACTCCTTCTTTAGCTCTAACTCTATTTGAACCCCTGACCTAATACCATTTATTCCTCTCCATTGAAACTCTCCCCCCCTTCAGCTTTGTTTCACTTAAAGCCAGGACATCCAGTTTCTTCTCATTCATAACATCCACAATCATCTCTTTCTTATCATTTGCACAACATGCATGCACATACAGACTTCCCACTTTGACAATTTTCTTCTTATTCTTTTTAGTAATCTTACTGCTATTAATTGCTCATAATTTTAAATTACAAGTCAAATCTTACTCCAAATTAATAATATTCATTATTTTTACCTGTCCATTTAAAATTTTTGTTTATCACTACTTGTTTTTAGTCACTTTTCATTGTGTATGCAATTAGTGTATATTCCAATTACTTTTTTGCAAGTACCAAAACTATCTTTTGCTAGCTAGTACCAACTACCTCATTTTTTTTTACTTTTTATTGGCAATAAACTGCTCAATTTATTTAATATTACAAATCAGATCTTACTCCTAAACCAATATTATTTCATAGTGACCATCTGTCCATTTAACTTTGTTTACCATTACTTAATTTTAGTCCCCCTTTTATATTTTCTCCTTTATTTTAGCTTTATATAACTACCCATAGTTTATATATTCACAATTGTTAAAATAATCAAGGTGCTATTTCAGGTGCTAAAGTAGAATAAGTTCACAATTTTGCCATTATATTCCAAAGCTCATTTATTTGATTACCACTTTATTGTTCACCACAACTTATATTAGTTCCTTTTATATTATAAAATTTTTTACTATAATTCCTAACTTTAAAGAATTACCTTTTTAATACTACCTACTATCATATTCCCAAGCTCCATTATTTGATCATCACTTTATTTGTATTAGTCCCTTTTATATTGTCTCCTTTATTTTTGCTTAAAAAAAAAAAAAAAACTACCTTAGCTCATTATTTACATTTGTTAAATAATTCAGGTGCTATTTTTAGCTTAAGACTATTTTTCTTTGTTTTATACTTAATTTTTAACTATAGATTCACTACAAATCTTATGATTACAAACATTGATCCTGATACCAACCTCTTAAATTTAAAGACTTAAATGAACAAACAGTTACTGTAATTACTACACTGCAGAACAATCAAAGGGGACTTTCAGCGCCAACAACAACATAACTATCTTTTAACTACAATATCAGATCTTTAAGCAAGCATTACGATGACCTCATAGCATTACTAAATTCCTTACATGCCAATATGTCCTCATTACACTAACTGAAACCTGGGTAAAGCCTGATAGTACAGATGTCTATGCCATTCCTGGTTACACAGCCATACACAACTGTAGGCCCGACCAACAAGGGGGGGGCACAGCCATATACTACTCAGACCAAAAAGAATGTATCACTAATACTTGCACAAGGGATGAACATGGGGGAAAATAAATAGCCAAATTCAAATCCAAATACCTACAAAAAACCTCTCACATTGATAAACATCTACAGAGTTCCACAGCAAACTTAGCCAATTTAGTCAAAACCTAGGAAGTATGATAACTGATGCACGCATGAACAAGATCACTTACTAAATCTCAGGTGACTTCAATATAAATTTTCCTGCAAGACCAGGACCCACACGTTACTGAATTCACAAACACAATGAGTAACTGTATGTTGCTACCAACAGTAACAAAACTACAAGAGTTACAGAGACTAGTGTTTCCCTACTTGACCACATCTGGACAACACCATATCCCCTTTAAAATCAGGGGATAATTACAGATAATACCACAGACCACTACCCTACTTTCCTCATAACAACTCTTGGTAAACTACCCCAGACACTACTAAAGTCACCTTCAGACTTCACAATGAGGCAGCCATTAATAACTTCACAACAGCAGTAGCAAACATTGACTGCACATGAGCTAGAAATCTATACAGAATTGACGAATGTATTAATAATTTTCTAAAAAAGACCCAATCCTCTATAAAAAAGCACTGCCCTAAAAAAACTTAAACAGATGACAGCTAAGAGACTGAACAGTCCCTGGCTAACACCCAGCATTCTCAAATCCATAAATACAAAACACCAATATGAAAAACAGTACAGAATGGGTCACATAACAGAGACCAAACAAAACGTTACTCGTCAATCCTAACCAGCCTGATAAGAAGGGGAAAAAAAAATTTTATTATGAGAAAGATTATCCAATTACGAGGTGATATAAAAAGACCTGGAAAACCCTATCAGAAATTCTGGGAACAAAAAAATATCACGAAATAGCGAAATAAATTAGCAAAATCAGATGAACCCCAACTCCCACCAACAGAAACAGCAAACAGACTCAATGATTTCTTCTCCACTATAGGACAAAACCTTTCCAAAAAAATCCCCAAACTCAGATACCCACCAAATGACTACTTCACCGGCAACTACCCGAACACACTGTTCCCAGCTCCGACTAACCCATACGAAGTCTCCCTTATTATCAACGCACTAAAAAACAAGGCAGGAGATTTAAAAACCTTACCACCCTTTATATACAAAAAAGTGTCACAAGTGCTATCACCAATCATTTGCACCCCTCTTTAAACAAATCCATTGAATCCTCCACCCCTTTCCCTACAGTTCTCAAAATAGCAAGGGTCACCCCGATCCACAAAGGAGGAGACCAAACAGAGTTGAATAACTATAGGCCAATATCCAACTTACACCCTCTCTCCAAAAATCTTCGAAAAAATTTAAATTTATAAACGAATCTACTCCTACCTTATCTCCCAAAACATACTCAACCCCTGCCAATTTGGATTTAGGCCCAATAAAAATACTAATGATGCTATTATACACATGCTAGAAAATATATACACTGCAATAGAGGGAAAAAAAAATCCCACTGGGGATCTTCATTGACTTACGTAAAGCTTTTGTACAGGGTTTACCATGACTTGCTCCCCGTAAAATTGTCACACTATGGTATAAGAGGGCACTCCTCAACTACCTCAAGTCATACCTCAGCAAAAAGAAGCCAATATGTGTACGCAAATGGGGCAAACTCTTCTGCACAACCAATTACAGTTGGTGTCCCACAGGGAAGTGTCCTTGGCCCCTTCTCTTTCTCTTATACATAAATGACCTACCAAATGCTTCGCAATTACTCAAACCCACACTATTTGCAGATGACACTACATACGTCTTCTCCACCCGAGCCCAGTCACGTTAGCCAATACTGTAAATACCGAATTACAGAAAATATCTACCTGGATGAGGACTAACAAACTTACATAAACATTGACAAAACCTACTTCATTCAGTTTGGTAACAGAGCTACAGATGTCCCTCTTAACATAATGATAAACGGATCACCTATCACAAAGCTAACAGAGGGAAAATTCTTAGGAATCCACCTTGATAATAGACTCAAATTTCATACACATATACAACAAATTTCTAAGAAAATTTCCAAGACTGTAGGCATACTATCGAAGATACGGTACTATGCTCCACAGTCAGCCCTCCTGGCCCTATATCACTTCTCTTTTTTAAACCCCTATCTCACCTATGGAATTTGTGCATGGGGCTCAACAACAATTAACCATCTCAGACCACTAATTACCCAACAAAAGGCTGCAGTTAGAATGAAAAACAAATTCTCACTACAGGCAGCACACTCCACAATATTCAATACACTAAACCTACTCACCATACAAAACATCCATACTTATTACTGCACCTATTACATACATAGAACACTTAACTCTGATATTAACCCCCCCCTCAAACATCTCCTTGCCAACCTCAACAGAACACATGACCATAACACAAGGCACAGATCACTCTTTGATGTTCCTTGTGTCCATCTCACACTATGCAAAAACTCAATGCACATAAAAGGCCCTAAAATCTGGAATTCATTACCTGTAAATATAAAAGAAACACTACCTGTTATAAATTCAAGTCTCTTCTCAAAGATCACTTACTCACCCAAAACCAAATAAATACTGAATAACTGAACCTTATAAATTGTATATCTTAAATGTTTTTTCACAATTATATCACATAAATGTTAAACCTAAAACCCAATCTAACTTTATTATTTTTTAAATACACTACCTAACAGAATACTCCATACGACTGAATGTACAACAATGCATGCAACCATATGACCTGTCTTTGTAATACTCACTTGTGCTTTATAGTAATCTGTTTATATTAATGTTTTATCACTGATTTCATCATTGCTTAGTTAATCTTAAGTTAATTTTAAGCCAGCCTGTAATGCTATGCATAGTATAAGTGGCTTTGGCATGCTGCTCTTATCTGTATTTTTTTGTACCTCTGTATGTGTGCTCAAATTGTTAATAAATAAATAAATAAAATAATAAAAGCATGGGAAGGTATGTAGGAATGGCCACCGTGGTGGCCCTGTACACCCCAACAACAACAACAGCAACAACAGGCCATTGTACCGCCTCCACTAACACAACTCACTGACGTAATATTTCATTCATTCTAGTGTATATATCATGTTTCTGTGTTATTAATATTGTTTATTATGTCATATTAGATTGTGATCAATAAATAAGCCATAGAGTTGATATTAGGGAAATTATTGAAGTATTTTGTCGTGCCTGGAATTCCACGGGAACTGATTAATTCCATATCAGTTAATTTAAAAGAGGAAAATTGACTGCAAACGAGCAAATCCAGATGCGAGCAAGGTCACGGAGCGGATTAAACTCGTAAGTAGAGGTTCTACTGCATATTCATTTTCCCCCTCCTTTTTTACAGAGAGGGCATCATTGCTCTAGCTTTTTCTATAATTCATATTAAACACTGAATTCATTTTGTCCATATCTTTGAACTTATTCTGTTTTATTATTCTTCTTTCGATGAACTGGCCGTATCCCACCAAAGCAGGGTGGTATGTGCCCACTGTAGTCTTAGTTTCCTCGTCTTAGCAGATGGGTGGAACCCGGCGTGGTCAAGGTTTGACGGGTTGTGCATTCAGAGATGCTTTATTCGCATACCACTGTTGTAACATTTGATTATTTGAGGTAATGTCACCTTCCTGTCAGCTTGAACCATCATTAGATGTTAAAACTATCCTAAAACTTCATTCAATAACCTGTCTTGCCAGAAGTTATTGGACAAGTCATTTCAAATGACCCTCCAAAATGCATCATCGTCCAAAGTGCAGACACTTTACCAGAACTTGAGTTACAAGGAAGTAGTAAGTAATCAGTTTCCCTGAATCCCTTCATAAATGTTATCTTGCTCAACTGCAATATGACAAACACCTCCCCTCAACCCAACACTGGGTCACCCCCAATGTTTTGGTGAGGCATGTGTGGTTTGTGTCTAGGGGACCTCTTCTCTGGGAGGAGTACCATTCTTCCCACAGTGTGATTGCATAAGAACTCAGCATCTCTTGTATTTTGATCATTTTTTTTTTTATAATTACTCCTAGATACCTTTCTCTGTCCTACAGTTCAGTACAGTATCTTATGTTGCATATTCTTCATGAAGGTCTATTTTCACTTTTCATTATGATGGATTTGTCTTTTTTTTTTTTTTCATCAAGTCGGCCGTCTCCCACCGAGGCAGGGTGACCCAAAAAGAAAGAAAATCCACGAAAAGAAAATACTTTCATCATCATTCAACACTTTCACCTCACTCACACATAATCACTGTTTTTGCAGAGGTGCCCAGAATACAACAGTTTAGAAGTACAGTGGTCCCTCAATAATCGTCCATAATCCGTTCCTGGAAGTGGGACTATTATCGAAATGGACGATTTACGAATCAATTTTCCCCATAAGAAATAATGTAAATTCAATTAATCTGTTCCTGACACCCAGAAGTATTAAAACAAAAAAATTTTTTACATGAAATATACATGTAGTACATAAACAATACAGTGGCACATGATGAATTAAACATTAACAGAATAACACTTACCTTTATTGGCGATTCTTCTTTGTGTATGGAAGACTGGAGAATGAGACTGATTGGATGAATTACTGTTTGGAAGGGGAATCCTCTTCCATCAACACCTTGGGTACCAATTGCTTTTCTGGGGTTACTTCTCTTCTCTGTTTCTTAATGCCACTAGGACCACCTTGAGAGTCACTGGAGTCCTGTCTCGCAAAAAACTGTCCAGAGAGCTCTGTTTCTGGCGTCTCTTTAAAACTTCCCTAAAATGGGCCAAGACTCTGTCACTGTACAAGTTGCCGATATGGCTTGCAACATCCTTCTCTGGGTGATGTTTCTTCATAAATCTTTGCATCCTACCCCACATTTCAAAAATCTCCTTAATTTCTGAAGAAGGCACCTTCCTCCATCTCTCTTCCTCCTCCTCTGCAGCAAGATTCAGAGCTGTCATCTGTTGCTGTTCCTGCTGAAGCTCTTGCAGCTCCTCAGTGGTTAGCTCTTTGTTGTGGTCCTCCACCAACTCTTCCACATCCTCCAAACTCACATCCAACCCCATGGAAGCCCCCAGTGCCACAATGGATTTAACAACTGACATAGGCTCATCAGGGTCAGCCCCAAACCCTTCAAAATCCCTCTTGTGGACACAATCTGGCCACAATTTTCTCCAAGCAGAGTTCAAAGTCCTGGTAGTCACTCCCTCCCAAGCCTTACCTATAAGGCTTACACAATGGAGAATACTGAAATGTTCTTTCCAAAAATCTCGTAGGGTCAAGTGAGTATCTGAGGTCACATTCAAGCACCTTTCAAACATTGCTTTGGTGTAGAGTTTTTTAAAGTTTGCAATGACCTGCTGGTCCATGGGTTGGAGGAGAGGAGTGGTATTGGGGGGCAAGAACTTTACTGTGATGAACCCAAACTCCTTCAAAATTAGGTCATCCAAGTTTGGAGGATGAGCAGGTGCATTGTCCATTACTAGGAGGCACTTGAGATCCAATTTCTTTTCCAGGAGGTAATTCTTCACACTAGGGCCAAAAAACTTTGTTGCACCACTCTACAAAAAATTTCCCTCGTGACCCATGCCTTACTATTAGATTTCCAAAACACACACAATTTACTCTTCATAACATTGTTTTTCCTGAACACTCTGGGATTTTCAGAATGGTACACTAGTAACGGCTCCACTTTGAAATCCCCACTAGCATTAGCACAGAACATTAGCGTCAGCCTGTCTTTCATAGGCTTGTGTCCTGGCATTGCCTTTTCCTCTTGTGTAATGAAGGCCCTCTTTGGCATTTTCTTCCAAAAGAGGCCTGTTTCGTCACAATTGAACATTTGTTCAGGTTTCAATCTTTCACTGTTTATGTACTCCTGGAATTCATGCACATATTTTTCAGCCGCCTTGTGGTCCGAACTGGCAGCCTCACCATACCTTACCACACTGTGTATGCCAGTACGCTTCTTAAATCTCTCAAACCAGCCTTTGCTAGCCTTAAATTCACTCACATCATCACTAGTTGCAGGCAATTTCTTTACCAAATCGTCATGCAACTGCCTAGCCTTTTCACAAATAAGCGACGTCATAAGACTGTCTCCTGCTAATTGTTTCTCATTTATCCACACCAATAATAACTTCTCAACATCTTCGAGTACTGGTGATCTCATTTTTGTCAGCATATTTATCCCCTTTGCAACAACAGCATCCTTGATTTCCTTTTTCTTGGCTATGATGGAAGATATGGTTGTACGGGATTTGTTATATATCCTGGCCAGTTCACCCACACGTACGCCACTATCATATTGTTCAATGATGTTTTTCTTAAATTCAATCGTATTTCTCACCTTCTTTACCAAAGGCTTGGCACTAGGAGCTTTCTTTGGAGCCATGGTAGCTTATTTAGCACTTAAATAACTTACAAGCACTAAAATAAATGAAATATTATGAAATATTTCACTGGAGCACGTGAGGGGACCGTCGCTCACTGATAAACAATGGCACACTGGCTGGGAAGGAAAGGCCGAGGCGGCTCGAGGCCGCTCAGACTGTGCGTACGCGTCCGGGACGAAGGACTATTAGCGAGTTACCGGACCATTTCCGAGCCAATATTTTGACGAAAAAACAGGACTATTTCCGAAATGGACAACTTTCAGGCCGGACGATTATTGAGGGACCACTGTATATATGTATAAAAATACACAGTACAGTGGACCCCGATTAACGATATTTTTTCATTCCAGAAGTATGTTCAGGTGCCAGTACTGACCGAATTTGTTCCCATAAGGAATATTGTGAAGTAGATTAGTCCATTTCAGACCCCCACACATACACGTACAAACGCACTTATATAAATACACTTACATACATGTAATTGGTCGCATTGGGAGGTGATCGTTAAGCGGGGGTCCACTGTATATCCCTCCAAACTGCCAGTATCTCAAACCCCTCCTTTAGAGTGCAGGCATTGTACTTCACATTTCCAGGACTCAAGTCCGGTTATATAAAATAACCAGTTTCCCTGAATCCCTTCACTAAATATTACCCTGCTCACACTCCAACAGCTCGTCAGGTCCCAAATACAATTTGTCTCCATTCACTCATATCTAACACGCTCACGCACGCTTGCTGGAAGTCCAAACCCCCCGCCCACAACACCTCCTTTACCCCCTCCCTCCAACCTTTTTGAGGACGACCCCTACCCCGCCTTCCTTCCCTTACAGATTTATACGTTCTCCATGTCATTCTACTTTGATCCATTCTCTCTAAATGGCCAAACCACCTCAAGAAACCTTCTTCAGCCCTCTGACTAATACTTTTATTAACTCCACACCTCCTAATTTCCACACTCCAAATTTTCTGCATAATATTTACACCACACATTGCCTCCAACCGCCTCCTCGCTGCAGCATTTACAACCGAAGCTTCACACCCATACAAGAGTGTTGGTACTACTATACTTTCATACATTCCCTTCTTTGCCTCCATAGATAATATTTTTTGCCTCTACATATACCTCAATGCACCACTCACCTTTTTTCCTTCATCAATTTTATGATTAACCTCATCCTTCATAAATCCACCCGCTGACACGTCAACCATTCATCACCTCTCATAAGCTACCTTTTTCTTTTATCACACCCTTTACTTCATTATTCCACCAATCACTCCTCTTTCCTCCTGCCCCCACCCTCCTATAACCACAAACTTCTGCCTCACATTCTAATACTGCATTTTTAAAACTATTCCAACCCTCTTCAACCCCCCCCCCCCCCTCCACTACTCATACCTGCACCAGCCCACCTTTCTGCCAATAGTTGCTTATATTTCACCCGAACTTCCTCCTCCCTTAATTTATACACTTTCACCTCCCTCTTACTTATTGTTGCCATTTTCCTCTGATCCCATCTACAACATTAAATTTCTTTATTTGTTTATAACTCTACTTCCTTGCTTGATTTCAATTTTAAAGCATTTTAAATATGCAGTAGGTAATTATAGCCAGACCTGAGTCCTGGAGGGAGGAAGTACAATGCCTGCTCTTTAAAGGAGGGTTTTGGGATATTGGCTGTGTGGAGTGACATCTAAACTGTCATGTCTGGGCACCTCTGCAAAGACATTGATTATTTGTGAATGATGGTGAAAGTTTCTTTTTAGGGTCACCCTGCCTCAGTAGGAGATGGCTGTGTTAAAAAAAAACTTACACTTAATTATTCAGAAGCTCTGTAATTAAAGATAATTTTTTATTAAATAGCTGAAAATGAGGGACGATGTTCTGGCTCCCTGTCATGGCGTTTAGCAAGAGGTGAAACACAGGCTGTCGGCATCTCAAGTTACACCTTCAAACTTAAACCAGAAGAAATTGAAAAGAAAGAGTTTATGGTGAAGTATTCATCAGCTAGAGATGAATATTTAAGAGTTTCAGCAGGTGAAATGATGAAGGGTTGGAATTCTGGCGTCAAATCAGCAAGGGATATAATAAGAAAACACGAAACTGACTGGAAAATGGTATATGTATCACGAAGAGGCAAGTGTAGGACTTCTCTGACATGTTATTGACATATTTTAACTTTATTGAATTATTAGTTAATTTTAAATTGTGTGTGATGTTGTCACCTCTTGCTATGACACATTTTTTCCATATCAAGGAAGTGGTGACACAGCAGCATACATGTTATGCTAAAAAATGAGGCAGCATTACTGACGGCATTTAACAGAAATTTATATGTAACTTAATTCAACACTTTTCATGCATATTCTTGAATGACCCACCTGGTGTGGAAGATGACACTCAAGTACAGCTCAGGACATTTAATAAATACCCTGAACTGTAAGGGCTGAACTCCACTAGGTTTAGCACTCTACATGAATATAATTTTCCTTCATAATTAAACTATAATTTTTTTAGCCTTAATGTATGCTGCCTTAACTATATACATGTAGCCTTATCATTTTATGTCTTTGATATATTTGTGCTCCTTTCACTTGTACATTTTTAGTTATGCTTTTATTCTCAAAGGACATAGATATATCCATCTGTTAAGAGGTACTGTATACATCTCACTGCCATATTTTAAAGAATTTTTATCATTGCAGAAAAAAGCAGTGTTGGTGAAATAAGCTGGGTAGTGGATTGGTCGCACACTGGACTTAAAGCCATATCAGTACTGATTGTGTTTCAGCATGCCACATTTGAAAGTGGAAGTGTTACATGGCAGCTTTGTACTGGAGACAAGTGCTTCCTGGGAAACAAAGGTAACTTTATAGGGACAAAGTACAGTGGTACCTCGAGTTTCAAACGGTTCCTAACTCAAACAATTATGTAAGTGTATTTTTGTAGGTGCTTTTGTAAGTGTATTTTTGGGGGTCTGAAACGGACTAATCTAATTTACATTATTCCTTATGGGAACAAATTCATTTGGTATCGGAACTCAAACAGCCTTCTGGAACGAATTAAGTTCGTAACTCGAGGTACCACTGTATGTGTTGCTTTTGAATACAGTCCTCCCTCACAGATCTGGCATCATTGGGACCTGTAGTGTGCCGGATTACTGAGTTTGCCGGATTACAGAGTGGTTAGGTTAGAATACACTTCACAAAATTAGCCAACTTGACTTACACAAAGTTCATTAAACATCGGCAAAAATCGAGCATTTCTTCTACTTTGAGCTCAATTTCAAGGTACTTTTCGTCATGAAAGCAATCAAAATCATGTCTATTTCTGTGATATATCTTCCATTCTATCAATTTTTTTTTTTTTATTATTATCACATTGGCCGATTCCCACCAAGGCAGGGTGGCCCGAAAAAGAAAAACTTTCACCATCATTCACTCCATCACTGTCTTGCCAGAAGGGTGCTTTACACTACAGTTTTTAAACTGCAACATTAACACCCCTCTGAAGGAGGGGTGTTAAGAAGGAGGGGTGTTGGGAAGTACAGTGCCTGCACTCTGAAGGAGTGCAGGCACTGTACTTCCCATCTCCAGGATTCAAGTCCGGCCTGCCGGTTTCCCTGAACCCCTTCATAAATGTTACTTTGCTCACACTTCAACAGCACGTCAAGTATTAAAAACCATTTGTCTCCATTCACTCCTATCAAACACACTCACGCATGCCTGCTGGAAGTCCAAGCCCCTCGCACACAAAACCTCCTTTACCCCCTTCCTCCAACCATTCCTAGGCCGACCCCTACCCCGCCTTCCTTCCACTACAGACTGATACACTCTTGAAGTCACTCTGTTTCGCTCCATTCTCTCTACATGTCCGAACCACCTCAACAACCCTAAACAACAACATAAAACCATAAAAACCATACGAAAACATACTGCAAAGAGGCGGCTAATGGCTGAGAAGTGAACTCCCTTATTTATCGTCCGTCTTTTTTATTTTTGTTGTACATTAAGAAGCATCTTCCATCATACATTGCCAAGTTTCAATGAGATAGCCCAACAAACAACCGAGAATAAAAAAATATTTACCAAAAATCATATGGCAACCCCTAAGCCAGGTACTGGAAATAAGTCACTTTGTCTGACCATTTTCCCTGGGTTAAATTTTTTCCACTATGTTCTCTGTAACTAGTACGAACCCTGCTTTTTGGGTTTAACTTTAACAGTCATTTAGTGTCCTGAATAAATAATTCAGACTTCCCTCACTTAAAAAACATTGTCTCATTCATTATTCACGCTACCCATATTGTCAGATAATTTGGCAATTTGGCATTTATAAATTAACAGAGCAATAAAGATTTCCCTGTTATGCAGACATCCTGCACTAAAATAATTTATTGTATTAATCACTGTCAAGCCCTCTTATATTACTCTGTTACCTTGGAATTTTATAAACATAGAAAGATTACGGGTTTGGACTACTCATTTTGTTTTACTAATTGCAACCTTCAAACTAAAGAACAGAACATTTTCGCTACTGTGAGCGCAATTTCAAGGTACTTTTCTTCATGAAAGTAATCAAAATCATATCTATTTCTGTAATATATCTTTCATTCTATCAAATGAGACTGAAAAAATGAGAATAAAACCACAACAACCATACAAAAATATACCGCTAAGTGGCCACTAATGGCTGAGAAGTGAACTCCGCTATTTATGGTCTGATTTCTTTCATTTTTGGTGTATGTGAAGAAGTATCTTTCCATCATACATTGTCCAAGTTTGAATAAGATAACCCAACAAACAACTGAGAAAATAATAATAAATAATAATAATAATATATTATACTTTATTTTCTACGCTACATGTACAAGGTATACATGCCTAGCTGACATCAGTGACATACTACTGTATAGAAAGCCGCTTGTTATGCAGAGTATTTCAAGAAAATTAGGTCAATGTCCCAGGATAACACCCACACTAGTTGACTAACACCCAGGTACCCATTTACTGATGGGTAAACATAGACAACAGGTGTAAGAAACACACCTAATGTTTCTACCCTGGCTGGGAATCGAATATTTACCAAAAATCATATGTGGCTAACCCAAGCCAGGTACTAGAAATAAGCCACGTTGACTTTTTTTGGGGTTATCCTAGGTTCTCTACACATATGCTGCTGTGTGATAATCTATAGAGAGAAAATAACTTTTTTGTTTCATGTTTATGGTGGAGTACGAGTGTATATCAGTTAGCCATGTGCTATACTCCGTTTTCTCTAATATAAGCCACCAAGACAAGGATAGGGGAATGGTATTTGTTTACCATATCCTCTTCATAACTCTGTCGAACTACTCGGTATTATGCCAAACATTATTTATTCTGGAGTATTTAACATGTTTTATGTTATTTATATTGTTTATTATGTCATATTAGATCAATTGTGATAGGCAAATAAGCTGTAGTGTTGATATTAGCGTAATAATAAAGCATATTCTCCTGCTTCATGAGGCTGAGTTCATGACAACTGAGTAAGTTAGCAAGTTTATTCAGGTATACACAAATACAGTTACATAGAATTATCATACATAGCAGCATATGTGTAGAGAACCTAGGATAACCCAAAAAAGTCAGAGTGGCTTATTTCTATTGGCTTATTTCCAGTGGCTTCAAAGCCACGTTATCTTTAATAGATAATGTACTGTGTAGGTGCTTTACATAAAGAGAAGCATTTCTTTTATTCATTGGAAGCATGGCTAGGGCTAAAAGTAAGCAGGTTAAAACAATAAATGGAGAAAAAGAAATTGGAATGACTTACGCAGCAAGTAGCGCCACCAAACAGTACCAGCAGGTTGGTGTGGCGACCCTGGAAATTTGAAATTATGCTAGCCAAAATTAGTGCCGAATAACTGAAGGAACCGAATAACTGATTGCTGGATTTGTGAGGGAGGACTGTAACTATTAATACAGGGGAAAATGCAGCTTATTTTAGCTGAGTGGTAAGATGTCCTTAAAATCATTACAGAAGTCTAGATAAATTTTCACTGTTATTGCCAGTATTTTAAATTTGCATGTTATACACTTTGGTGATACTTCCTGTAATTAAGGGACTCTTGCCTGTCACCTGTGTATGTTTTATCTGTTATACTAATATAAGCATGTTTCCTTAGAGTAATGTATGCTGTATAGTTGGTCAGCCTTGCAGTCTTCATAAGTGGTGGTTTTATTATTATTGTACTATAATTATAGTAAACTTTGTATTTGGGCCTCTTTTTCATTACTCTTTTATTTTAGGACAATAACTTGGGAGTGTTCATGTAGAAGTGGAACAGAATTCTTCCTCCGTAAGCCATGCGTGTCGTAAGAGGCGACTAAAATGCCAGGAGCAAGGGGCTAGTAACCCCTTGTCCTGTATGAATTACTAAATTTAAAAAGATCAACTTTCCTTTTTCTTTTTGGGCCACCCTGCCTCGATGGGATGTGGCCAGTTTGTTGAAAGAAGTATTCTTCAGTCTGTATACAGTGGACCCCCGGTTAACGATATTTTTTCACTCCAGAAGTATGTTCAGGTGCCAGTACTGACCGAATTTGTTCCCATAAGAAATATTGTGAAGTAGATTAGTCCATTTCAGACCCCCAAACATACACGTACAAACGCATTTACATAAATACACTTACATAATTGGTCGCATTCGGAGGTAATCGTTATGCGGGGGTCCACTGTACTGTGACTTTATGCAATACACCAGTTTCAGGAACATAACCCACATGAAATGTGAGATTTTGTTGTATTTTCTGTTTAACATTAATTTTTTATTTACAAATTTGAAAAAGAGATTTAATTTAAACTTTCATCTATTATGCTCTTTTTAGATTCTTTTTATTACCTTATACTGCATTGGTATATTAATTTCTTACTTGTCTTTATCTAGTTAGTGTATCCGGTTAGTGCATTATGTCCAGGAAAGAATTGGGCACTGTATGCTTTTCTTGCAATATTTGTATTATTTAGAGGGAAAAGATTTGAAAATGGTGCAGATTTAATTGGTAGTATCTAACCTTTATTTTTTGAGTTTTATAGTTTGAGTTCAGACATTTTAGCCTGAGCATTAAGGCAGAATTATATGGAACCATAAATAATTAAATTCTTGGGTAATAATTTATTTCTCATTTTTTTTTTTTTTTTTTTTTTTCAACAAGTCGGCCGTCTCCCACCGAGGCAGGGTGACCCAAAAAAGAAAGAAAATCCCCAAAAAGAAAATACTTTCATCATCATTCAACACTTTCACCACACTCGCACATTATCACTGTTTTTGCAGAGGTGCTCAGAATACAACAGTCTAGAAGCATAAACATATAAAGATACACAACATATCCCTCCAAACTGCCAATTTTCCCAAACCCCTCCTTTAAATGCAGGCATTGTACTTCCCATTTTCCAGGACTCAAGTCCGACTATATGAAAATAACCGGTTTCCCTGAATCCCTTCACTAAATATTAAACCCTGCTCACCCCTCCAACAGATCGTCAGGGCCCAAGTACCATTCGTCTCCATTCACTCCTATCTAACACCTCACGCACGCTTGCTGGAAGTCCAAGCCCCTTACCCACAAAACCTCCTTTAAACCCCCTCTCTCCAACCCTTTCGAGGACGACCCCTACCCCGCCTTCCTTCCCCTATAGATTTATATGCTTTCCATGTCATTCTACTGTGATCCATTCTCTCTAAATGACCAAACCCCCTCAACAACCCCTCTTCTGCCTCTGACTAATACTTTATTAACTCCACACCTTCTCCTAATTTCCACACTTTCCCAATTTTCTGCATAATATTTACACCACACATTGCCCTTAAACAGGAACATCTCCGTGCCTCCCAACCGTCTCCTCGCTGCTGCATTTACCACCCAAGCTTCACACCCATATAAGAGTGTTGTACTACTATACTTTCATACATTCCCTTCTTTGCCTCCATAGATACGTTTTTGACTCCACATATACCTCAACGCACCACTCACCTTTTTTTCCCTCACAATTCTATGATTAACCTCATCCTTCATAAATCCATCCGCCGACACGTCAACTCCCAAGTATCTAAAAACATTCACTTCTTCCATACTCCTCCCCCCCAATTTGATATCCAATTTTCTTTATCTAAATCTTTGACACCCTCATCACCTTACTCTTTTCTATGTTCACTTCAACTTTCTACCTTTACACACATTCCCAAACTCATCCACTAACCTTTGCAATTTTCTTTAGAATCTCCCATAAGCACAGTATCATCAGCAAAAAGTAACTGTGTCAATTCCCATTTTGAATTTGATTTCCCCCTAATTTAATCCCACCCCTCTCCCAAACACCCTAGCATTTACTTCCTTTACAACCCCATCTATAAATATATTAAACAACCATGGTGACATTACACATCCCTGTCTAAGACCTACTTTTACCGGGGAAATAGTCTCCCCTCTCTTCTACACACCCCCAAAACCCGAGCCTCACTATCCTCATAAAAAACTCTTTACAGCATTTAATAACTTACCACCTATTCCATATACTTGCAACATCTCCAAAATTGCTCCTCTATCCACTCTATCATATGCCTTTTCTAAATCCATAAATGCAATAAAACTTCCCTATCTTTATCTAAATACTGTTCACATATATGCTTTAATGTAAACACCTGATCTACACATCCCCTACCCACTCTAAAACCTCCTTGCTCATCCGCAATCCTACATTCTGTCTTAAACCCCAATTCTTTCAATTATAACCCTACCGTACACTTTTCCTGGTATACTCAGTAAGCTTATTCCTCTATAATTTTTACAGTCTCTTTTTTCCCCTTTCCCCCTTTTTATAAAAGGGGCTATACATGCTCTCCCGGCCCCAAACCCTAGGGTACCTTCCCCTCTTTCATACATTTATTAAACAAAAGTACCAACCACTCCAACACTATAAACCCCCCCTGCTTTTAAAAATTTCTGTCATGATCCCATCAGTTTCCAGCTGCTTTACCCCCTTTTCATTTTACGTAATGCCTCACGTACCTCCCCCACACTTACATTCTGCTCTTCTTCACTCCTAAAAGATGGTATACCTTTCCCCGACCAGTGCCCTGAAATTACTGCCTCTGTTTCTTCCTTAACATTTAAAAGTTCCTCAAAATATTCTCATTTAAATATTTAAATATTTAAATATTTATTTTTTTTTTTTTATTATCACACCGGCCGATTCCCACCAAGGGAGGTGGCCCGAAAAAGAAAAACTTCACCATCATTCACTCCATCACTGTCTTGCCAGAAGGGTGCTTTTCACTACATTTTTAAAAATGCAACATTAACACCCCCCTTCAATGAGGGACTGTACTTCCCATCTCCAGGACTCAAGTCCGGCCTGCCGGTTTCCCTGAATCCCTTCATAAATGTTACTTTGCTCACACTCCAACAGCACGTCAAGTTTTAAAAACCATTTGCCCTCCATTCACCTCCTATCAAACACGCTCACGCATGCCTGCTGGAAGTCCAAGCCCCTCGCACACAAAAACCTCCTTTACCCCCTCCCCCCAAACCCCTTCCTAGGCCGACCCCCTACCCCCCCTTTCCCTTTCCACTACAGACTGATACACTCTTGAAGTCATTCTGTTTCGCTCCATTCTCTCTACATGTCCGAACCACCTCAACAACCCTTCCTCAGCCCTCTGGACAAACAGTTTTGGTAACCCACACCCCTCCTAATTTCCAAACTACGAATCCTGCATTATATTCACACCACACATTGCCCTCAGACATGACATCTCCACTGCCTCCAGCCTTCCCCCTCGCTGCAACATTCATCACCCACGCTTCACACCCATATAAGACCCGTTGGTAAAACTATACTCTCATACTTTCCCCCCTCTTTGCCTCCGGGACAAAGTTCTTTGTCTCCACAGACCCCTAAGTGCACCACTCACTCTTTTTTCCCTCATCAATTCTATGATTCACCTCATCTTTCATAGACCCATCCGCTGACACGCCACCCCCCAAATATCTGAATACGTTCACCTCCTCCATACTCTCTCCCTCCAATCTGATATTCAATCTTTCATCACCTAATCCTTTTGTTATCCTCATAACCTTACTCTTTTCCTGTATTCACCTTTAATTTTCTTCTTTTGCACACCCAAACCAAATTCATCCACCAATTTTCTGCAACTTCTCTCAGAATCTCCCAAGAGCACAGTGTCATCAGCAAAGAGCAGCTGTGACAACTCCCACTTTGTGTGTGATCTTTATCTTTTAACTCCACGCCTCTTGCCAAGACCCTTTGCATTTACTTCTCTTACAACCCCATCTATAAATATATTAAACAACCACGGTGACAAACACACATCCTTGTCTAAGGCCTACTTTTACTGGAAAAATTTCCCTCTTTCCTACATACTCTAACTTGAGCCTCACTATCCTCGTAAAAACTCTTCACTGCTTTCAGTAACCTACCTCCTACACCATACACTTGCAACATCTGCCACATTGCCCCCCATCCACCCTGTCATACGCCTTTTCCAAATCCATAAATGCCACAAAGACCTCTTTAGCCTTATCTAAATACTGTTCACTTATATGTTTCACTGTAAACACCTGGTCCACACACCCCCTACCTTTCCTAAAGCCTCCTTGTTCTTTCTGCTATCCTATTCTCCGTCTTACTCTTAATTCTTTAAATTATAACTCTACCATACACTTTACCAGGTACACTCAACAGACTTATCCCCCTATAATTTTTGCACTCTCTTTTATCCCCTTTGCCTTTATACAAAGGAATTTATGCATGCTCTCTGCCAATCCCTAGGTACCTTACCCTCTTCCATACATTTATTAAATAATTGCACCAACCCCCTCCAAAACTATATCCCCACCTGCTTTTAACATTTCTATCTTTATCCCATCAATCCCGGCTGCCTTACCCCCTTTCATTTTACCTACTGCCTCATGAACTTCCCCCACACTCACAACTGGCTTTTTCCTCACTCCTACAAGATGTTTTTCCCTCCTTGCCCTATACACGAAATCACAGCTTCCCTATCTTCATCAACTTTTAAAAAATTTTCCTCAAAATATTCCTTCCATCTTCCCAATACCTCTAACTCTCCATTTAATAACTCTCCTCTCCTTTTTTTAACTGAAAAATCCTTTTTTGTTCTCTAGCTTTCTTAACTTTTTAAAATCTCACTCCAAAACTTTTTCTTATTTTCAACAAAATTTGTTGATAACATCTCACCCACTCTCTCATTTGCTCTCTTTTTACATTGCTTCACCACTCTCTTAACTTCTCTCTTTTTCTCCATATATACATTTTGTGTAAATGTGTTTTACTGTAATTTTTATTTATATAAAAACTGGACTGAAAATAAATATCTTTTTCCAGAAGGTGTACTGGAGCTTTTCCAATGTGACTTGGAGCATGAGGCATCAATAATTGAACTATCAGCACGTCTTTTAAATGGTCAAGGAGAAAATGCCTGGCAACATGCTCAACTCTTTCGTCAGTCAGACAGCTCTCTTGATCAATTCCCATTTCTGATACACATTAAATATAACTGAATTGTGTTTGGAAAGTAGGTTATACAGCTTAGCCAAGTTACAGAGTGAGCTTGTGATGCCTCTACCTCACACTTTGTAAATATATTGTTGAAGTCTGTGTAGTATAGTGCCATGCAATACTGTTTTTACTTTTGTACCTTTTAACATGGTGTAGTAGGTATGCAAGTATCTCTGTCAAGTATTCTCTTTTTTTTTTTTTTTTTTTTTTTTTTTCAACAAGTCGGCCGTCTCCCACCGAGGCAGGGTGACCCAAAAAAGAAAGAAAATCCCCAAAAAGAAAATACTTTCATCATCATTCAACACTTTCACCACACTCGCACATTATCACTGTTTTTGCAGAGGTGCTCAGAATACAACAGTCTAGAAGCATAAACATATAAAGATACACAACATATCCCTCCAAACTGCCAATATCCCAAACCCCTCCTTTAAAGTGCAGGCATTGTACTTCCCATTTTCCCAGGCTCAAGTCCGACTATATGAAAATAACCGGTTTCCCTGAACCCCTTTCACTAAATATTACCCTGCTCACACTCCAACAGATCGTCAGGTCCCAAGTCCCTTTTTCGTCTCCATTCCACTCCTATCAAACCCACGCTCACGCACGCTTGCTGGAATCCAAGCCCCTTACCCACAAAACCTCCTTTACTCCCTCTCTCCAACCCTTTCGAGGACGACCCCAAACCCCGCCTTCCCCTTCCCCTATAGATTTTTTATGCTTTCCATGTCATTCTACTGTATCCATTCTCTCTAAATGAACAAACCACCTCAACAACCCCTCTTCTGCCCTCTGACTAATACTTTTATTAACTCCACACCTTCTCCTAATTTCCACACCTCCGAATTTTCTGCATAATATTTACCACCACACATTGCCCTTAAACAGGACATCTCCGCTGCCTCCAAACCGTCTCCTCGCTGCTGCATTTACCACCCAAGCTTCACACCCTATAAAAAGTTTTGGTACTACTATACTTTCATACATTCCCTTCTTTTCCTCCATAGATAACGTTTTTTTTTACTCCACATATACCTCAACGCACCACTCACCTTTTTTCCCTCATAATTCTATGATTTAAACCCCATCCTTCATAAATCCATCCGCCGACACGTCAACTCCCAAGTATCTGAAAACATTCACTTCTTCCATACTCCTCCTCCCCAATTTGATATCCAATTTTTTCTTTATCTAAATCATTTGACACCTCATCACCTTACTCTTTTCTATGTTCATTTCAACTTTCAAACCCTTTTCACACTTTCCCCAAAATCATCCCCAACCTTTGCAATTTTTTTTAGAATCTCCCTAACAAGTACATCGCAAAAAGTAAATGTGTCAATTCCCTTTTTTAATTTTATTCCCCATAATTTAATCCCCCCCCCTCTCCCAAACACCCCACATTTACTTTCCCTTTTTCAACCCCCCCCTATAAATATATTAAACAACCATGGTGACATTACACATCCCTTTTAAGACCTACTTTTTTTAAAACCGGGGAAGTAGTCTCCCTTTTTCTACACACCCCTAACCTGAGCCCACAAACCCTAAAAACTCTTTACAGCATTTAATAATTTACCACCATTCCAATACTTTGCAACATCTGCCACATTGCTCCCATCCACTCTATAATGCCTTTTTAAATCATAATGCAAAAAAAACTTCCCTATTTTTTCAAATACTGTTCACATATATGCTTCAATGTAAACACCTATCTAAAAATCCCCTCCCACTCTAAAAAAACCCCCTTGCTCATCCGCAATCCACATTCGTCTTACCTCTAATTCTTTCAATTAAACCCTACCGACACTTTTTCCCGGGATACTCATAAGCTTTTTCCTCTATAATTTTTTACAGTCTCTTTTTTCCCCTTTTCCCCTTTTTAAAAAAGGGACTATACATGCTCCTGCCAACCCTAGGGACCTTTCCCCCCTTTCTACATTTATTAAACAAAAGTACCAACCACTCCAACACAAATCCCCCCCCGCTTTTTAAAATTTCTGTCATGATCCCACATTTCCCGCTGCTTTAAACCCCCTTTATTTACTAATGCCTCACGTACCTCCCCACACTTACTTTGCCTTTTTCACTCCTAAAAGATGGTTTTACCTCCCTGACCATGCATGAAAATTTCGCCTCTGTTTTTTTCCTTAACATTTAAAAATTCCTCAAAAATTCTCGCCATCTACCCAAAACCTCCATCTCCCCATCTACTAACCCCCCACCGTTTTTAACTGACAAACCATATTTTCCCCAGGCTTTTTTAACTTGTTTAACTCACTCCCCAAATTTTTTTTTTATTTTTATTAAATTTTTTGACAGTGCCCCCCCACCTATCATCTGCTCTCCTTTTTCACTCTCTCACCACCTCTTTCCCTTTTTTTTACTCTCCAATACTCTGCCCTTATCCCCTTTTGCTTTGTAAAAAACCCCTCATAAGCTACCTTTTTCCCCTTTTATCACACCCTTTTCTCATCATTCCACCAATACCCTCTTTCCTCCGCCCCCACCCTCCTATAACCACAAACTTCGCCCCACATTTTAAACGCTTTTTTTAAAATATTCCAACCCTCTTCAAAACCCCCCCACTACTCACTTTGCACAGGGCCCCTTTCTGCCAATAGTCGCTTGTATCTCAAACCCAATTCTCTTTTATCTTTTTTTTTTTCTCTTTTATCACATA